GAGCAAACACGAAGAAATTATGCACACTGGCGGGAAAGATAGCGATTCGATAGCGCAAATAAAGCATCCGCCCAACGCTGATCAGAATGCAAGATGCGAATTCTATTACCAGGATGCCCCGTGCCGTCCAAAGCTTGCCCAAACGAACGAAAACGAAGCTGTAGCCCAAACTCTCAAACAAGAAAGAAAAAAATGTGGCAGATTGGTTCAGCGAGGGGAAATTTCCAGGCCCTGCTTTGATGTCGTGTCTCTCGATTCGATGGGCTTGTCTGGGCCGCCGCTATCAGGTACCAGAGGTCGGTCGTTGTAGCGGTGGTGGATGCCGGAGCCCCGCTGCAGAGGCCGCTAGGAGGCAGTGGTGGGCTCATTGTACGGGGGGCTTGGGGGGCCTTGTACGGGGGCATCTCCCAGTGGATGCCACCTCCTCCAAGGGCGCGGGTTAGCTGCCAGGCACGTTCGCACCTCATCCTTAGCTCGCGCCGCGGCGAACGCGCTGCCGTTGCAGAATGAACTCCATGGGAGCATGCAGTCTTACCCGTCTGGTGGCAGTTAGGCCGCAGCCTCCTGTCGGTGCAAAGTATAAATGGCCGGTGCCACCAATCAGGCAGTGAGGCCATGGATCGGCTAAAAGCAATGAGCGTAGATAACACCGGGAGGAAAGTCTCGCCGTCCGTCCAGCAGCAATATTAACTCGTCCCTTTTGCGCCACGCTCATTATCAATTCGACTCGCAACATGTCGGATTTCTCATTCAAACTACCAGTACGGCTTAATGTGAGCCGCGCGTTACATGTTTAACTGGGTGGACGAGCACATTCTACATCTGGCACCGAAGGTGTTTTATATGCTCAGCTGCGGTTAGCCTCAGTATTACAAGTGCATCTCTTTCTCATCAGGCCGATCTCCCTGGGTCTTTGGCGTTAGAATCCCCATCGAGCCAGCCCGCCGGGAGCAGTCGTCTCCTTTCTGCTCTCCATAGCTGTAATTTCTCTGGTTACTCCGTATTCCGCAGTCGATCTTTTGATCTCCTACCCCTGACCCTTGCTGGCAATCAAACCTGTCGCTTATCGATTATGTACTCCATACTAATACACATTCACATTGTAGCATTACATTACTAGGTAGTGTTTCGTACAAGTGCAACTCTGTACGTGTGTTGTTAGTTGATCGAACTGGGTGTGCTCAGACCACTATTAGGCTAAAGTGTTCTTGTTTCATGATTGTGCTACCCGTGAGCGTGAAGACGATATGGCTACGGCAGGTTTTCGAATAAGTATTACGCCCAAAAAAAATTATGTCGTGTAACTAATACTGCAGCGTAATTTGATAGTGCTGCTGCATCTTGTACTTTCCAAAGTGACATATCCGGTCGCGGCAGTCTCAGCCGCGTTTAGGTGATGTGTGTAAGTACATGTCACAGGTTGCCGTAGCTTTCTAACTCACGGGCCTCCACAATTCCAATAAGAATCCACAGCCATGGATGGAGTAGTTAAACTACCAAAAAGAGAAAGATGAAGATGGAACAACCCCCGATTTCCCGGCATAGCAGTGCTGATAGCATTGCAATGTCGACAAGAGTATCAATTTCTGTGTTTATGAAATACCTATCTTAGGCAGACGATACTAACTGTAAAGCTCTGAAAGTCCCATATGCACGCACTACATGTAAGCGCAGAAGACTGCATGAAAGCTGATACACGTGTGATGACAGAATGAATCCCATGTGACGTCATAACCATGAATTGGCAAGCTGTGTAATAATGGAGACTATTTTACTTGCCAGCGTGTTGATGTTGCTTGAGATGCTTATATCTTTTGCCCTCTTTGGAACTGAGCACCAATACTTTAGTATCTATAGTAGGTACTTAGGTATGAGCGAACTAACAACCCAGCAGGTATCAATTTCCATGACGTCTCCCTTCTGACGCAAGCCCTGGAGTTTGAAAGAACCGATTGATAGTGACAGTAGGACTTTGTCATTCAAAATGAGAACATCGACCTAAGCACGAAGTCTCATACACGTTCTTCCATGCACAGAGCTACATCCCTATATGGAGCTCCCTCAAGCTCATAATTGGCTCTCTGCGCGCATATTGCTGGTCATAAATTACTAGACAAGTTTAAGACCCGTGGACTCTGTTATGAATAAATGGTACATCAAATTGACTGGAAGTTGAAATTTTGCCAGTATATCATGTACCTTAGATTCCCTAAAAAGCAACGCGTGCATGCATAGCATCGTGTGAATTTTAGAAATAGGTGCAGTAGTAGCAACAAACCAGTCTGGCCGTTTTAGCTCAACCGGCATTGAGCTCTAAATTAGCTAGCGGCACTGATCAGCATCTCTGCGCCTTGTGTGATCCGGCAATGCGCCCTGCATTTTAGGCCCTATCAGACACACTTCACTCTAGCACCAGTGACTGCGCTCTTGGCTCATCTCGCTCCGATATCAATTCACTTTCTGCTATTATGACTCAAATAAAGATAAAAGCCACGTGCGTTGTGGCGGCACGTAGCATAACTTTATAAGATCCTTAGGCTTTCCATATAGACCCGCACTTTAGAAACATCCAAACTGTAACCTTTTTTTCTCCCTTTAAATGGGCGTCCTCATTAAAGACGGAGTTATAGAGCTGCATAATAAGCATCACCGCCTTGTCGTCATTTCTCTACCACTCAAGAAATCCAAATAACCATCCCCCACGCAAACGCAATGGGAACTCCCTTCATTAGCCTCCTCGAGCCTAGCAAGCTCGAAGGGTTCCAGCTAGGCGTTCCCCGAGAGTCGCTTCCATCAACAATCCCAAAGACGTTCCTCGACGCAATGGAAGTTCGCGAAGAGGTCTTCGTCAAAGAGCAAAATGTTCCCGGCGAAAACGAATTCGATGCCGATGACCCGCGATCGTGCCACTGGGTCATTTATGTCAGCGTCAACAAGACAGAAGTGCCAGAGGTCAGAAACGAAGAAGGTGACATTGTGCGGCCGCGCAAGAGCTCCACTCGAAGCACTCCCGTGGGAACCATCCGAATGGTCCCCTTCCCTCATGAGCCTCATCCAAAGCCGGGTGGAGATTACTGGAATGGAGTATTGAAGGGCGATGAAGGCAATGCCACCAATAACAGCGCACCGTCAGCTCGCCAGTTCGTTCATGATCGACCAACGACGTTTCACGATGGCAAGGAGCCATACATTAAGCTTGGCAGATTGGCCGTTATAAAGGACTATCGTGGCTACCGCTTTGCAGGCCAGCTTGTGCGGAATGCACTCGAGTGGATAAAAAAGAATCCATCCTTTTTCGACCCGAGTATTCGGGAATTGGGCCTTGAGCAAATGGGAGCGTCTACAGAAACCGAAGCGCCGCAGTGGCGAGGTCTCCTTTGCGTTCATGCACAAGAACAGGTCGCCAGCGCATGGGCAAAATGGGGATTTGAGATTGACGAGGGGATGGGCAAATGGTGGGAAGAAGGCATCCCTCATGTGGGAATGTTTTTGCGTCTAGAGATTGGTCCAAAGGATATACAAATTTCGGCGTAGCTACCGCCAGCAGCAATATGATGTAATGGCAAGGGAGGAAAGAAAGAAGAAGAAAGAAAGAAAGAAAGAAAGAAAGAAAGAAAGAAAGAAAGAAAGGAAACATGGGATGATTGCGTATTAGAATAGAGATCACGTTTCACAAACAGATAAAGAGTCTCTCGCTCACAATTAACTAAAAAAAATGATATTCCCTTTATTTGATGCCGTATGTTGCATTTTTGTTTTGGTCTCTCTCTTATGATCACAGATAAGAAAAATATGGTAATTAGAGACACAAAAGGCATGATTCATAACAGCCCCATTTTTGAGCCCAGCTTTTTTTATTCAGACTCTAGGAGCCATCTGAAATAAATCCATGTCCGCGTTCCCAGACCCGAACGCAAAATGCAATTCTGAAAAATGCCTGATCCACGCCAAAAGCCACACACTCCATCCAGCCAGGTACCCACCGCACAACCTTTATCGGTTGGACTTGGCGACACGCTCCAGCTCGTCCTTCTTCTTGATAGCGTATGAGTTGCTGCTGCCCTTGGCGGCGTTGATCAGCTCCTCAGCCAAGCACTCAGCAATGGACTTGACGTTTCGGAAAGCAGCCTCACGGGCACCGGTGGTGAGCAGGGCAATGGCCTGGTTGACTCTCCTCAGGGGGGAGACATCGACGGCCTGACGACGGACGGTACCGGCAGAGCCAATTCGGGTAGAGTCTTCACGGGGACCGCAGTTGACAATGGCGTCAACGGCAACCTGGATGGGGTTCTGGTCGGTCATGAGGTGAATCTGGAGTAGAAACCGTTGTTAGCAAAGACATAGCAAAAAAAAAAAATTGACAATCTCCTGTCATTCTTGCACACAGTTGTCGGGGGGCGCGCGTAAAGTACGTACGATCTCGAAGGCGTGGGCGACAATGCGGACAGCCATCAGCTTCTTGCCGTTGTTGCGGCCGTGCATCATCAGAGAGTTGGTCAATCGCTCAATGATAGGGCAGTTGGCCTTGCGGAATCGCTTGACGGCATATCGGCCGGCAGAGTGGGTGACGTAGACGGGGTTTCGCAGGGAAATGTAGTCGCTATTTGATCAATCCATCAGCACAAACATGTCTCCTCGAGTGTTTTGGCGAAATATTCGGATTTTTTTCTGTCTTCCTATTTCGCCTCATTCGCGATATCGAACGTACGTCAGAGAGATGTCGCGGACCTCGACATCGTAGTCCCACTTGTTGAACAGCTTGACGTTGCCGACCTCCTTGACAACATCCTTGGGGAGGACGTCGGTCACGACAGAGTTTTCGATCTCGATTTCACCGCCGTCAGACATCTTGGCTAATTTGCAGTCGAGTGTTCCGGTGCTGGGGCGGGACTGCGGTTAGTATTGCGGATTGTCGAGATGTGATTTTTCAAGAGGTTAAAGGCGGGCTTGGGTCGGCGTGGAATGGGAAATTTTGGTGGTGGGTGCGCCGGGCGAATCAGATGGCGCGAAAAGTTAGGTACGTACCCTGCACCACGTTCGGTTAGGGCTCGGCTGCCCTGGTGAAATCGGAAGTGGGCAAACCGTTGAAGCGGGAGGGCTACTCTAAGTCGTCGCCAAAAATTCCATTTTCCTCTACCACTCCTCTGTCACCAAGCTAAGCACATCACAGACAAAATGGTATGCCACCACCGCCGTCGCCGCCGTCGCCGACCATGATGAGATGGTATCGCTGCGCAGAGATGCTGATGTTGTGAAATTTACAGGCGCCCGCTGCTGGAGCAAAGAAGCAAAAGAAGAAGTGGTCTAAGGGCAAGGTCAAGGACAAGGCCCAGCACGCCGTCATCCTCGACAAGACCATCTCCGAGAAGCTGTACAAGGATGTCCAGTCTTACCGCCTCGTCACCGTCGCTGTCTTGGTCGACCGAATGAAGATCAACGGCTCCCTCGCCCGCCAGTGCATCAAGGACCTCGAGGAGAAGGGCATGATCAAGCCTGTCATCACCCACAGCAAGATGAAGATCTACAGTACGATTCACCCAAACACCCATCTCCTATCGCGCACAACAAAAGAAGAATAGTTTACTAACAATTGTGCAGCCCGTGCCATCGGCGAGTAAATTTACCACCATATTTTAAAGTTAAAGCATTGAGATTTGGGCGCCTGGTTGGTCTGCAAAGAAGAAAATGGGCCATGAGAGAAGAGGATGATATGAGGTACATAAAACCTTAGTTGGGACGCTTTTTCATGCTCGGTGTAGCATTTCATGGGATCGGAAACGCTTTAGCATATGGCTACGGAATGAAGAACTTCAAAAAATGACCAAACTGACGCAACTTGTCCCAAACAACCGTGTGACGCACATGACTTGGTCACGAAATTAATGTGATGAGTCTATATTAGAATATATCAGTTCGCTGCTGCCACCGCGTTGTGCAATCGATGTCGTCACTCAATTGAAAGAATGCGTCCCTCATCTATCATTACGTGTGCTCAGTACTACATATCAAATGCGCTGCATGCCATATATCGCTTGAAATATGCGCTTAGTACATTACATTTTCTCCTTAGCCCTATCTAGTACTCACCTTCCCTGCATTTATCACGACATAGGTACTATGGAGGACATGCATTTTGAAGACTACACTCAGGCTACAAAGAATTGAATACTTGCCAGCATCTTGGTTGTCGGTTTCGTAATTTACAGCATCTGTACATCATAAGTCGATTATTTCAGAAATTTGGTGTTCTCATAGTAGGCACCTAGTGCTGGATCTTGGTGCAGTCAATCAAGTCTCGTTGTGTATTGACCAATTAGACTTACCCTTCTGCAAGTCACGCCCTTAGCCCTTCTCCGCCCCCCTTTCTCTACTACAGCAGAGGCTAAAGCACGTGAAACTTGTTCGCTATGCCAGACTACCGTGCTTAATATTCGACGAGCGAAGAGTGTATCCTCTCTATGTCGCCGGGTTTTACATGTCGAGATTTTCAATTCGCCCAAGGATAGGCAATTGTGGATTAGCAAGTCTGCAAGTCCCATACCAATCAACTCTTATTAGCGAATTTGGTTACTTTCCACTTGATGCGGCACCGCTATCAAGGTCCACAACCTGAGACAGAGTTATGCGAGGCCACGTCTGCTCAAGAACGAATGTGGACTTGAAGCACGAGTCTCATTACGGAATGAGGAAACATGCATCCTTTTCTCTTCTAGTTTAACGGGCATGGCGTATTATTATTTTTAGCAGAAGTGGCCGTGCAAGAAATGGTTAGAGTTTTGAGAGAGGTTTGTCGCCCCAGTGCCCCTGATAAGGAGTCTCCTACGGTAGATACGCATCGGCAACGCTGGAACCAAGGCCGATAGTGCCCATGTCGCCTGCTATCAAGGCTGGAGTCTTCGGTCTCCCTTGAAGCGGTGGAGCCGGAGTGTGCGGGATGGCTGCCCACGGCCGGTCAGATCGGCGTCGACGGTGTGGCAAGACGTGAGAGAAGAACATCTTCGGGGTGGCTGCTTTCTTTGCCTCGACAGTGTCAGTTAGAACACCAGCCCGGGATGTCCGCTAAGCCCTGTTCTTCAAATCCTTTAAGATAAATTTTTTTTCCTATGACCACTTAGAGATTTAGGGCGGGTTGGCTTGTGACCTAAGCATTGGTGCCATATGATGGCTGCAAGGCCCAAGGCCGTGCGGCTAAAAAAAGNCGAGCCATATTTGTACATCTCGCCTTTTCACTCGCTTGCCAGCTGGACTTGCAGGTTGGTATGGAGTACTCCTGACACGAGGTGCCTGCAAGAATCCATTCTAAAGCGGTGACGAGCATGTCCAGAACGTGCAAAGAGTCTGTGCAACACACGGAGTACGGGGGCAGACAGATACCTCCATCGTTTTATGGCTGCCTCGGCGACTCCAGGAATAGGCAGGTTGGAACTTTGCACTGGCGGGTGGCTTCGGCGGCATAGAAGATCGGGGCGAATCGGGTACGTGTAAACAGGGCAGAGTTGCGCTGTGGCACAGCACAGTGCAGCCCAAAGGGAGTCGAGAAAAAAATTCAAGAAAAAATTGGCGCAGATCTCCTGGGCGCCTGAACGTAGCCAACTCCGGGGGCGTTAGGCCGCTGGCACGGCCCCTACGCGATCGTTTGCCTGAGGCTGCAAGAGGCTGCCACCCGCTGTAGTTGCTCTCGTTGCCGTGGATGGCAAAAGCAGCGCGGCCCAGCGTGCAGCGCTAGTGCGGCCGGAAAGATTCGCTCTGAAAAAAAAAAAAGTGTCCCCTTGGAGACCCGCCGCAATTTTTTTTCCCTCCCCCGAAAAGCCATTCGCCCGTCGGTGCAGAATTTATTTCGCTCGGCTCCCCCCATCATTCTCCTCTTCTTCCTTTCATCTCCATCTCCCCTCAATCCTTTCTTTTTTTCCGGGAAAGCGTGTATACTTCAGTCACAATGTCTGAGAAGCCTCAAAAGGTCCTGGGCATGCCGGTAAGTCGACTCTGCCTCAATCATCTCCTCCAGATAAAGTGCGCGCTGTGAGATTCCGAGACGACTCCGAGCGATATTTTGCCAGCATCCTCAATTGAACCATCCGGATGACATTGAAATGTTGCGTATCGATGGCTATCTGGGCCTCACTCTCAGTCTCGAGGAATTTCCAGAGTGTGCTTAGGATGGAAAATTTTTTCTATCCAGTCGCTACGCATTTGTACCTGACCGCTAACTCTTTACCTCACAGCCCTTCGTTGCGGACTTCCTGAGTAAGTCATTCTTCGATGCTTAGGCGGTTAAGAACAATAGAGATTCGCGGCTCGCGTGGAATTTCGAGAGATGGGACTGACATATTGTGAATAGTGGGTGGTGTTTCCGCTGCCGTCTCCAAGACCGCTGCTGCCCCCATCGAGCGTGTCAAGCTTCTTATCCAGAACCAGGTTTGTCCCCCCTTTTATGATCAATTGACTTTTGGGAACCTGCGTCTCTAATTATCGCAATAGGATGAGATGATCAAGGCTGGCCGTCTTGACCGCCGCTACACTGGCATTGGCGAGTGCTTCAAGCGCACTGCTGCCGATGAGGGTGTTCTCTCCCTGTGGCGTGGTAACACTGCCAACGTCATCCGATACTTCCCTACCCAGGCCCTGAACTTCGCTTTCCGTGACAAGTTCAAGAAGATGTTCGGCTTCAAGAAGGACCGTGATGGCTACGGCATGTGGATGCTTGGTAACCTGGCCTCTGGTGGTGTAAGTTTTTTTTCCCCTGGCAAATAACCCCTCAATTTCACATGCTCAGTGCTGACGGCCACTACCAGGCTGCTGGTGCCACTTCTATGCTTTTCGTCTACTCTCTCGACTACGCCCGTACCCGTCTGGCCAACGACGCCAAGTCCGCCAAGAAGGGCGGTGAGCGTCAGTTCAACGGTCTCGTTGATGTCTACCGCAAGACCCTCGCCTCTGACGGTATTGCCGGTCTCTACCGTGGTTTCATGCCCTCCGTCGCTGGTATCATCGTCTACCGTGGTCTCTACTTCGGCATGTACGACTCCATCAAGCCTGTTCTGCTCGTCGGTTCCCTCGCCAACAACTTCCTTGCCTCTTTCGCTCTCGGATGGTGCGTCACCACTGGTGCCGGTATCGCTGCCTACCCTCTTGACACTATCCGACGACGAATGATGATGACTTCCGGTGAGGCCGTCAAGTACAAGAACTCCTTCGATGCTGCCCGCCAGATCATTGCCAAGAACGGTGTCAAGTCCCTCTTCAACGGTGCCGGTGCCAACATTCTCCGTGGTGTTGCCGGTGCTGGTGTCCTGTCCATCTACGATCAGCTCCAGGTCCTCCTCTTCGGCAAGGCCTTCAGCGGTGGCTCTGGTTAAATTGCTTTTTCTACGTTATGTATAGACATTCTTCGTGCGTTTTACCTCGGAGATGGGTTTAATTGGCCAGGTGGGTGTAATGCGGCGTCCACTGGTTGATAAAAAAGGAGACCGGAATGGAAGGTATTGAGGGAAGTTGGGCCAGATATCCCGACCTGTGTAACAGTTGCTATTTGCGGGTTAGACTGGCATCGGCACGGCGTATTAGTCGTTTTTGACTCTGCCGTGCTTTCTAGGTCACTGTAATTATACACCAATGCAAGTTCCCTTGATTTAGAGATTTTCAAACAATTATGCTTCGATACAATCGCAATGTGAGACTCGTGCAATGTCTGTAGAACAAATAGTATTTTTTTTTTCTTCTTCCTCTGCGTCTGCGGCAGTGATATTCTAGGCTTCACGGTTCGCGTGTGCGTTGCTGACTAAGATCGCATTATCGTATCCAGCACTTTGCGCTGGGATGGGAGCATACCGAACTCTTCTTACCTTTCAAGCGACTTCCTTGGGACTTGGGACTCAACGCCGCTTGTACCAATATTTCCTCCAGCCACGGCGGCCCCAATTTGTTTCTCTTTGAGGAGCCTTTGTGATTCATAGAGAAGCAATCAAGCTGATCCCAAGTGTACCAATGCCGCCCCAACAATCCTCAACTGGAGCTGGTCGTGGCCGGCCGGCCAAAGCAACCAAAGCTCAGCCACCTGCTCGCGATGCCTCGCAGTCTAGCAACCCATTCGAGTCTTCAGACGATCAGGAGGAGAGGGCGAACCAAACAATCAACGTGGAAGAAGAGCCAGAACCGGAAAAGTCAATCCCGAAAGCCCTCTTGACACGGATTCTCCACGAGTTCTTCGCCAAGGAGGCTACAAGAATGTCGAGAGACGCCAATGCAGCGGTAGGCAAGTACGTGGATGTTTTCGTTCGAGAGGCGATTGCGAGAACGGCTGTGGAAAAGCGAGGCGGGTTTCTAGAAGTAAGACTGTTCAGATCATACCATGACTACCACTTTAGCATGAACAGGCAATGCTGACTACTCCTTTTAAAGGTCGAAGATCTAGAAAAGGTCGCGCCCCAGCTGCTTTTAGATCTCTAAGGGTTATAAAACGATCTAATATGCCACGAGCCAACTGTCATTACCCAGATTGTGGGAAACAACACAGTTATCTCGCACCATCACTTTGCCGTCCTGCGAGCGAGTTAGTGCGTGTTCTGGACCCTGCTCCTCTTCTCCCCTTCTCCGGGGTATCATCTCGGCTACGAGAAGATCCATGAGCCTGCACGTGTTGAGCATTGTCTTTTTATTTCGTCAGACAGAGTCCCCCGCAACCGTTTCACATCGCCACCGGATATCGAGGCCAAATTGCTGCCGGTTGGATGCCTCTAGCCTCCTTGCTCTGGAGGGAGGGGGCCTGCGAGGGAAGACGACCTGCATGAAACGCAATGTTTCCGGTGTTAGTTTGATGCATAATCATCTGTCTAAAAAGATGCATACGTCGAATACGTAATCTCCCACTCGTATCTTTCATGGTATGGATTTATCCTTGACGGGATTTTTACAGAATATCATCCTCTAAGCTATGAATGGACTCCTAACGTGATATCTCACGGCTCTTAATGGGAGGGGAAAAATGGCCAGGGAGCTTCAATTTCCAGGTGATTTATACACCGCGCGCTTTCCGTCACTACACGAGATCTCAAACTTACGAGTGCATATTGGTAATAGAATAGCTTGATCACAAACTGCTGCAATTCAGCTGATGCACAGACTTTTCCATCTTCGTCTTTTATTATAATGGATCTCGAGAAATGTTTTAATTGCAAGCACAGTCAGTTGCTGCTGTCTGCCCTGGTTGTTTTGGCAGAGCGCGGATAGTGGCTTGTCCGGGTGGATGGCGGTCGGTTACTAGACCGTTTCACCAGGGTGCGGATAGCTTGGATTTCTGCGGATATTATACGGCAGGGGGGTTGTGGCGTCTACAACTCGACCACTGGCCAATTGACAACGGCACTTTGACGCCGACGACATCGGGTTTAAAAAAAAAAAATTCCAGGTACGGGTACGTCGTCAATAAAAGATAAAAGATTGTTTCAAAGCTGTTGGAAACATCAGGCCTATCAACATGAAGTTTTGCGTCGAGGCCATGCGGCTCCTTTGGCTGAGCTGAAACGGCCCACGTCTCGCTTGTGTCGGAGACGCTCGACATGAAGCAGCTTCAACATCAGACCCCGGCCCTGGCCCCTCCATATTAGGTGTGGCGCGGCCTGCCTGCAACGAACGCAATTCCGGGTGCAGCATTGCCCGGTGCATGACAGCTAGGCAGCCTGAGAGATTGATCTCATTAGGCCGTTCAGGGCCCCATGGCGAGGAGAGCTGCTATCCGAAGCTATGAGCGCCTGGCTGCAGGGTCCATCTGCGGGCCAGGCTGAGGTTAGCAACATGCTTGCAGCCCTTCCCTTGCTGCTGCTGCCAGGAGTAGTAATGCTGGGATGGATCGAAGCAGACGGCATGCGTGCTTGTATGGATTGCTCCTGGGGCACGGCGTTTCGAGTTCCCGATCGAGCTGCGCCGCCCATGTGTCTGGACCCAAGCCAGCCAAGTCCAGCGTCTCTGGCCAAACGAGTCTCACACACGCTATGAGCGGCGCTCAACTGAAGCTATGCCCCGTGGTTTGAGGAGATGTGATAGGCGCCTCCTAGCCCACGACCACTTTCCCCGTAACCGACCAGGTGCCAGGACGCTAATGCGGACGGTGAGAGAGACGTGCCTGGAGATTAAAAGCCTTCATGTTTCCTTTTCTTTTGTTTCTTCCATTTCCTGCAACCATCGTTCTTCTGTTGTCCGTGGGGTTTCTTTTGTCTCCTTACTTTCTCTTCTCTTCTTTTCTATCCAGTTTCCATTTACACAATTCAGAGGCTAGTCCTTTGCTGGTTCTATCGCTTTTCAACTTCCCTTCTTTAACCCATTCTAAAAAAACACTAATCTTGTTTTTTCCTTTCCTTTCCCTTTTTCTCTCGCTCTCTTGGTTTTATTTGGGAAGTCTGGTACTTTCTCTCTTTAAGGCCGGCCTATTCTTCAGAACAAAAAAACCCAAAATTTTAAAAAAACCTTTATTCAAGATGCAATTCAAGTCTCTCCTCGTTGCGGCTTTGGCTGCTGTCACTCAGGGTAAGCCGAATTATAGCAGCAATAGCATGTTTAGATCGCGAAACTAATATCTCCCTCTAGCCGTTGATGTCCAGGTCGTTTCCGTTGGTCAGAACCCCATGGCTGGTATGACTGGTCAGCCTGCCATCAAGTACTACCCGGACAACATCAAGGCTGCTCCCGGTTCCATGGTCCAATTCCAGTTCTGGGCTGGCAATCACACCGTCACACAGTCTGACTTCGACCACCCTTGCACGCCAATTTCCCAGGTCAACAGTTCTGTTCCTGGCATCTGGTCCAGCTTCATGCCCGTTGCTGCCGGCGCTTCCAAGAAGGAGATTCCCGTTTTCACCATCCAGATCAACGACACCAAGCCCATCTGGATTTTCTGCAGTCAGGGCAAGCACTGCTCATCTGGCATGTCCATGGTAATCAACGAGAAGTGAGTATCCTATGATGCAATCGCAATCAAACAAAAATACTAATATTGAACGTGTAGCACTTCTGCCAACTCCACTCGTTCTCTTGCCAACTACAGGACTGCTGCTTCTACTGCTCAGGGTGGCTCTTCTGGCTCCGGCTCCGGCTCCGGCTCTGCTCCTGGCTACGGTTCAGGCTCTGGCTCAAGCTCTGGTTCCAGCCCCAGCCCCAGCTCTCCTGCTGGATCTGACGGCAGCTCTGGCTCTACTCCCACTGATGGCTCTTCTGGAGCTGCCCCTACCGATGCCCTCACTCCTCCCCCCTCAGTCACCAGCGGCGCTTCTTCACCCGCTGGTACTGGCGCTCTCCCTGGCGGTGCTACAAACACCGGTATCCCCAAGAGCGGCGCCTCATCTGTCGGCGTTTCCACCAGCTTACTGCTGGCTCTGGGTGCTGCTTTTGCCCTGCTATAAATGGGATTGGAGTGACGACATGACGTGGGGAATGTTCTATAAAAAAGCGACGACGATCTGTAATACCATATTTGGGGGTTTTTATTCGTATATGCATCTTCCTTGCAAGCAAGGGTTTTTTTTTTATTTTAACTTCTTTTTTTCTGGAGTGGGATGGAGGTAATCTGTTCCCTTAGGTTTTTATGAAAGGGGAAGGACAACAAGAGTCCTGGGTTAAAACACATGCTAGGGACCATGTGTGTAAATGTATCTGGATACCTTATTTAAAAATTTTGGAGTTGTTTCTACACACTACTTTTTTTCTTCTCACTTTGTGTCTCGTGATCGATTGGTTCAGCTGAGTTGCTGAGGCTTCATTGATAATCAACCATGTAGGCTTTGTATGATACACTCGCAATAAGGAATTATGTAGCAGAAACTTTCAGAACGGAAACTTTTGACGGATCAAATACTTGGGAAAAGGCCTTTTGTCTCTCCCTGTCTCGCTTGCAGTTCTCGTAATCAGGTCTAATATTCGCTATTGCGGTTCTTTCTCTTCGACCTGCCCTGCTGAGCAGCTTCGCAAAGTTTCTTCCTTGGCTCCTTGTCTAGCCAGTTCTCGTCCTTCTTCACATAGCCCACCTTGTGATACTTTTTGCTGTTTGCAAAGAACTTGACCCAGTTCCCCAGCGCTTCATCGACCTTCTTCAGCGCCGCGGCCATCTCCTTCTCCTTCATTGCCTTCATCTCGGCCGTAGTCCATTGAGCGTCAACCTCCGGATCGTCCAGCGGCAGGAACATGTCCTCCACGCCTCGCATGTCGGGAGTGCGATCCTCGGAGAAGCAACCCGTGACGAAACCGCGAGCAGCATCACAGCCCGCAAAGTAGCTGTATGGCCCTCCGGGCCCGTACATTTTGCGTCCATTGGAGACATCGTAGATGGTGCCATTGAGAGCCACGTACACAGGCTTGGAGGGGTCCTTGCCATCGTATCCGGCGAGCTGCTCGGGCGTCAAGTAGACGGGACCTTGCTGTAAGGTGGTTAGCGGCGGTTTACTTGTCCCCTCTCTTCAAATAAATAATACCATCTGAGCTTTCCACCAGTCTACCCGCAAGTAATTGGGCTTGTTCTTCATGCCCCAGAAGAAGCTCTCGCCATTACTGATCCAGTAGCTGAGTGCACACGAGGCCACAAATAGGAAGCTAATTACGCGCAAGACGTCCACCCATGGAGATTCGGCATCCGCATCGCGGACCTTTGACTTTGTGCTCTTTTTGACCTTGACCTCTTGGACAGGCTCTTCAGCATCCTGCGGCTTCCTCTGGCGCAGTTCAGAGTCCGCCATGGTTGACGAGAGATATGATTGCTGGCCTAGGGATTGTATTGTATGTCTGTGGCCGATGCTTTAATAACAGAAGTGAAAGCCAATGTCAAATCGTGGCCATATCGTCTAGCTGCCGTTTGGCGGGATCGGGGTAAGCAAGCTCCCGCTGCTGACGCATTTGAGCGAGTTGATTGGTCCGTTTTAGACACCCCAGGGTCGCACGTCCAGTCTTGTGAATTTTCTCATAGATGCAAGAAATAATTGGTTAAGCAGCAGCTACAGCCACTCCCGGCGTCATCTTCCCAAAAACAGTGGGGGGGACTTCTTAATCAAGGTTGGGCACTGTTAGATGGGGCGTCGCTACAGCAACAGAGCCCACTTGGCACCATCTTTGTGGTTGGAAATTGGTAAACAGCGTTGGCACCTTATTATTACCAAGCCCACAACTGCATGACCCTGTCCTGCACGGAGTACGGCCCAGCATTTTTCGGCTCGACACATCACCACATCCAACCTGCAAGACGACAACTTGCTTGTGATACCGGATCCCGTGGAGGGACCAGGACGAAGCGCCCGATAATTCGACGCAGACACGACACACCCCGTTCACAACACAGCACTGGCAAATGGAAGAGCTTTCGTCTCAACCCAACTCCCCCGCGTCCGCTGGTGGACCCCTCCAGATGGCATCGCCCGACCGCGTGAATCAGCGTCGCGATATCTTTGCCAGCGTCCGACCAGTCGCAGGAGAAGGAGGTCGCGATAGCACGGTACACGACAAGATCAGCCAGTTCAACAGCCTCAGTATGAGCATGCAGTCAAGGCAACTGGAGCGCAAAAGCGCCGATGCGGCGCTTAAGCGAGCCATGTTGGGGCGCGAGGAGGCCGAAGCCGAGATGAAGCGCCTGAAGGAAGAAGCCCGAGCCTTGCGACAGGAAATCGAAGAGGGCAAAGAGCGAGAGAGGAGAGTTGGCGAGAGGCTGGAAACCATCATGGTAAGCAAATAAGACCGGTATCACCATCATCGCTACACTACGTCACCGTGCTGCGTAGCCCCTGCTTCAGCCTCCATAGCCTTGCAGCATATTATTATTATTATTATTTTCTCTGTCAGTATGGCTAGCTAATCGCGCCATGTCAATCAGGAAAACTATGGTCGCGCCAAGGAGACACATGCACACACCGAGGCCCTCTGGGAAAAGGAAATTAGACGTGCGAGAAAAGAAAACTTCAAAGCCCAGTCGACCATTGTCAAACTCCAGGAGGATCTCAAAAACACTCGCGCCGCGACCAAATTAGTCGAAGAATCGCTACGACATGAAAAGGACAGATGCCAGGCTCAAGAACAAGAAACTTTGAAGGCCCAGGCGACCATTGCCAAGCTCCAAGAGGAGATGAAAGCCCACAGCGCCGAGGCGAATTCAATCGAAGAATCATTACAGCATGAAAAGGACAGGTGCCAGGCCCAAGAACAAGAAACTTTGAAGGCTCAGGCCACCATTGCCAAACTGGAAGAGGAAATCAAAGCCCAAGGCGCCGAGAACAACTCAATCGAAGAATCGCTGCAGTATGAAAAAGATAGGAGCCAGACGCGAGACCAAGAGCTCTTCAAGGCCCGATCTACCATTACCAAGCTCCACGAAGATCTCAAAACGGCCCGTGGTGCCACGAAGACAGCTCAAGAGTCGCTCCTCAAGGAAAAGGAAAAGACTCGAGCACAAGAGCATGAAATTTTCGAAGCGAAATACCAAGTCAGCAACTTGCAGGATCAGCTCGAGCAAGCATTTGAGCGGATGAAGCTGGTGGAACAGGAACGAGATGCCTACAAAACCGCAGCCAAGAACGAGGAAGTTGCGCGTCTCGCTGCAGAGGGACGCATTCCTCTGCCTGCCGAGGAATCGGATAACGAGTTTGCATCTCCCCCGAGAAAGAGGAGAATCGGGTCGACAATTAGGTGTAGAGACCCCCGTGTCTCTCTCTCCACAATGGAGGTCGTCTCGTCAGCTTCTCTTGAGTTAGAACTCGAGGAGCTTAGTGAGCAGGTGCAGTGGGAAAGGCAGAGAGCCGACCGGGCTCAAGAAATGATTGAGTTCATGCAGGCCGAATGCCAGATGCACTGCTGCCCGGCCTCCAAGTCTAAACGCCGAACTAGCATGTTGGCCATGCAGCTCCCTCGCGCTTCTCCTCAAAAGTCAAGGCTTTCTTTGGAGGCCACCATCCAAGAAGAGAAGAGCGCACCGGCTGAGCATGTCCCATCGCCCGTCCAGCAGCATGAGTTGAAGCCGGGAAAGGTGAGGAAGGGCGCCAGGCGGAGTACCGTCTTTTTACCCAAGGAGGGTGTCTTCCGCACGGTATCCGAGCAAGAGGCCATTGAGCTGGAAGCTCAGCGCAAGGCGGAAATTGTCATTGAGGCTCACGAAGAGACTGAGCCGGAGTTGTCTCCTCCCAAAGGAAAACAAGAGGCACATCAACGTACGTTTGCGAGAACACCATCTGTCGAGCCTTCAGCCTATGATTTTGCCCCAAGCAGAGCATCCCTCATGTCGCTCATCGACACTCCGCGAATTAACGCTCAAGCTGACTCTCTGCCAAATTTGCATAGCATCCCGACGGTTTCTGACAACAACCCCGCACAAGAGGGGTTAAAGCGATACTTGGCAGCGGTAGCAGAAGACGAGGACGTGAAGCCGATGGTGGTGTCGGAACCAGAACCGTTCTCCTTGCCTCAGAAACGCCCGTCTGCTGGCTCTTCTCGCTCTTCGTCAACAGCTGTCTATACCGTGACGACTACAGTCCCACTTCAAGACGAACGATCCTCTAGCTCAACTTTCAGCCAGAGAATGCGAACGGCATCCAGCAGCAGCAGCGCGAGCTTCGACACGACTGATCCAGCAATGGATCCCACCATGACTCGAGAAGAAGCCCTAGCCAAGATCCAGGAGAGGAGAGGACGTGCTAGGAGTGTGACCAGAGGCGCGGCTACATCGCAGAGCCGGCCGACGTCTGGCATGGGTCGAAGAGACGTGAGTAGAATGGGCAGAGTTGGAAGCAGATCCAGGTCCAGGAACTCATGAAGCGTTTCTTCTTCTTCTCATTTTACATTTTTTCCCTCTTTGAATTTACATATTGGAAGGTACATAAAGGATGGTTTATAGGGCTAGGTATGGTTGGCTTGGATGGAGTTTTACGATATCAGGAGGAAGAGTTGTTATCATCACTC